ACATTAAAAGTACTGTAAATTCAAGTAAAATAACAACTAAAAATATTTAAGAATCACATACGAAATTTAGTTGACTTTCGTAAAAGTACCTACATCGCATAAAATGGAACAGAAAGAGTAATATATATTATTTGAAAATGATATAAGAAGTGCTATAAATCACAATAAATTAACAACTTCAAAATATATTTAACAAAATCACATACAAAAAATTATATAACTCTCCAAATTTCATCGGTGTCACATAAATTGAAACAAAGAACTACTCCCAATTTATGTGACTTACTTTCCTTTTTAGTCAGTCCCAAAAGAATGTCACATTTCTATATTAAGTAACAATTTCACTATAAAATATTTATTTTACCCTTAATGAAATAATTTACAGTCATAAAAATTTATATAATTCATTGAGGAAGTAATATATATTGGGCCCGCGCTAGCGCGGGAACCTAATATCTAGTATATATATATATATAGATTATTTGTATATGTAATAGTTATCTACCAAATTTTTTGTGGAAATATATTTACAGAAAAATAGGCTAAATTGATTTGTATTTAGATTTATGTAAATATAAACATAATTGGTAGTTCCTAAATTTTAGCAGCCAGTGTATTTTTAAAACGTGGATTTCTGATAGGAAAGAAAAAGCCCAATTACAAAAAAAAAATTCATATACACGAGTGTCCTCCTACATGGTCCCCTAGTACAACATACTTAAGAAAGCGGTTTCCAGGGTCAACCTGTTTAACTGCATGCCATACCACAAGAAGGCTTACTATACTTTTTTGATGATAAACGCCATGAACTTGACCGAGAGGGCGGAACCCCATTAGTAAAAGACCAGAGAGAACTCAGGAGCCATCCCATCCCAATAGCGTATATTTGGAGCTCAATATGAAATCCTATTTTCTTGCAAGACCCGTTCGGATAAGGGAATACAAAATCTGAAAAGCTGCAGGGATGACAAAAAGAGGGCGCTTTCCTCTATTTTTTTTTAATAAAAAATGGTACAGTTATCTTTTTCTTTGTTTTTGGCTTAAAATTAAAATATTTTCAGATTTAAAAAGATTTTCCAATTTTAAAAATAAAAAAGCAGATTTAAAATTTCAGATTTAAAATATTTCTAATTTTTAATTTTTAATTATATTTTTTAATTTAA